ACAGAATGAGATAGATAGATAAATAGATAATGAACAGAATTAGATAGAATAGATAATAATGAACAATGAATTAGATAGATAGATAATGAAAAGAATGAATAGATAGATAATGAAAAGAATGAGATAGATAGATAGATAGATAGATAGATAGATAGATAATGAACAGAATTAGATAGATGAATGAATTAGATAGATAGATAATGAACAGAATGAGATAGATAGATAGATAGATAGATAATGATAGATTAGATAGATAGATAATGAACAGAATTAGATAGATAGATAGATAATAGAATAGATAGATAGAAGATAATGAACAGAATTAGATAGATAGATAAATGAACAGAATGAGATAGATAGATAGATAGATAGATAGATATGATAGGATAATGAACAGAATTAGATATAGATAATGAAACAGAATAGATAGATAAATGAACAGAATTAGATAGATAGATAGATGAGATAGATAGATAGATAGATAGATAGATGAACAGAATTAGATAGATAGAACAGAAAAGAGATAGATAGGATAATAGATAGATAGATAGATAGATAGATAATGAACAGATAGATAGATAATGATAGATAGATAGATAGAAGAATGAGATAGATAGAGATAATGAAAGAATAGATAGATAGATAGATGAAATGAGATAGATAGATAGATTAGATAATGAACAGAATTAGATAGATAGATAATGAACAGAATTAGATAGATAGATAGATAAAGAATGAGATAGATAGATAATGAAAAGAATGAGATAGATAGATAGATAGATAATGAACAGAATTAGATAGATAGATAGATAGATAGAATAGATAGATAGATAGAAAATGAACAGAATTAGATAGATAGATAATGAAATAGAATGAGATAGATAGATAATGAAAGAGAATAGATAGATGAAACAGAATTAGATAGATAGATAATGAAAAGAATGAGATAGATAGATAATAAAGAAAGAATGAATAGATAATAGATAGATAGATAGATAGATAATGAACAGAATTAGATAGATAGATAGATAGATAATGAACAGAATTAGATAGATAGATAGATAGAAATAGATAGATAGATGAATAGATAATGAACAGAATGATAGATAGATAGATAGATAAAATGAATAGAATTAGATAGATAGATAAATGAAGAATAGATAGATATAGATAGATAGATAGATAGAATGAACAGATTAGATAGATAGATAGATAGATACGAACAGAATGAGATAGATAGATAGATAGATAATGAACAGAATAGATAGATAGATAGATAATGAACAGAATTAGATAGATAGATAGATAGATAGATAGATAAATAATGAACAGAATTAGATGATAGATAGATAGATAATGAAAGAATGAGAGATGATAGATAGATAGATAGAAATAGAATGAGATATTAGATGAGATAGATAGATAGATAATGAACAGAATTAGATAGATAGATAGATAGAAAAGAATGAGATAGATAGATAGATAGAATTAGATAGATAGATAGATAATAGATAGATAATGAACAGAATAGATAGATAGATAGATGGATAGATGAGATAGATAATAATGAACAGAATGATAGATAGATAGAATGAGATAGATAGATAGATAGATAGATAATGAACAGAATGAGATAGATAGATAATGAATGAAAGAAGATGAGAATGAGATAGATAGATAATGAACAGAATTAGATAGATAGATAGATAGATAGATAGATAGATAGATAGATGAATTAGATGAAGATAGATAGATAGATAGATAATGAACAGAATTAGATAGATAGATAGATAGATAGAATAGATAGATAGATAATAGATGAAATGAACAGAATTAGATAGATAGATAATGAACAGAATGTGAGATAGATAGATAGATAGAGATAGATAGATAGATAGATAATGAACAGAATTAGATAGATAGATAATGAACAGAAGATAGATAGATAGATAGATAATGATAGAATTAGATAGATAGATAGATAGATAGATAAAAACAGAATTAGATAGATAGATAATGAACAGAATTAGATAGATAGATAGATAGATAATAGAATGAGATAGAATTAGATAGATAGATAGATAGATAATAATGAACAGAATTAGATAGATAGATAATGAACAGAATTAGATAGATAGATAGAAAGAATTAGATAGATAGATAGATAATAGAAATGAGAAGAATAGATAGATAGATAGATAGATAGATAATGAACAGAATTAGATAGATAGATAGATAGATAGATAGAATAACAGAATGAACAGAATTAGATAGATAGATAGAACAGAATAGATAGATAGATAATGAACAGAATTAGATAGATAGATAATGAACAGAATGAGATAGATAGATAGATAGATAGATAGATAATGAACAGAATTAGATAGATATATAGAATGAGATAATAGAATAGATAGATAGATAATGAACAGAATTAGATAGATAGATAGATAGATAAATGAAAGAATTAGATAGATAGATAATGAACAGAATTAGATAGATAGATAATGAAAAGAATGAGATAGATAGATAGATAGATAGATAGAACAGAATGAGATAGATAGATAGATAGATAGATAGATAATGAACAGAATTAGATAGATAGATAATGAACAGAATTAGATAGATAGATAATGAAATGAATGAATTAGATAGATAGATAGATAGATAATTAGATAGATAGATAATGAACAGAATAATAGATAGAAGATAGATAGATGAATGAATAGAATAGATAGATAGATAGATAGATAGATAGAAGATAGAATTTGAACAGAATGAGATAGATAGATAGATAGATAGATAGATAGATAATGAACAGAATTAGATAGATAGATAGATAGATAATGAAACAGAATGAGATAGAGATAGATAGATAATGAACAGAATTAGATAGATAGATAGATGAACAGAATAGAATGAGATAGATAGATAGATAATGAAAGAATTAGATAGATAGATAGATAGATGAGAAATAACAGAATGAGATAGATAGAACAGAATGAGATAGATAGATAGATAGATAGATAAGAACAGAATTAGATAGATAGATAGATAAATAGAATAAAAGAATGAGATAGATAGATAATGAACAGAATTAGATAGATAGATAGATAGATAAATGAAAAGAATTATAGATAGATAGAATTAGATAGATAGAAGATAGATAATGAACAGAATTAGATAGATAGATAGATAATGAACAGAATGAGATAGATAGATAGATAGATAGATAGATAATGAACAGAAGTTAGATAAATGATAGAATGAGATATAGATAGATATATAGATAATGAACAGAATTAGATAGATAGATAATGAACAGAATGAGATAGATAGATAGATAGAATAGATAGATAGATAGATAGATAGATTAATGAACAGAATTAGATAGATAGATAATGAACAGAATGAGATAGATAGATAGATAGATAATGAGATAGATAGATAAACAGAATTAGAATAGATAGATAGATGAGATAGATAGATAGATAGATAGATATAGATAGATAATGAACAGAATGAGATAGATAGATAGATAGATAACAGAATTAGATAGATAGATAAATGAACAGAATGAGATAGATAGATAGATAGATAGATAATGATAGAATTAGATAGATAGAAATTAGATAGAACAGAATTAGATAGATAATATACAGAATGAGATAGAATAGATAGAATTAGATAGATAGATAATGAACAGAATTAGATAGATAGATAATGAACAGAATGAGATAGATAGATAGATAAATGAACAGAATTAGATAGATAGATAGATAGAATGTAGATAGATAGATAGATAAAACAGAATAGATAGATAGATAGAATTAGATAGATAGATAATGAACAGAATTAGAAGATAGAGAATGAGATAGATATGATAGATAGATAGATAAATGAACAGAATTAGATAGATAGATAATGAACAGAATGAGATAGATAGATAGATAGATAGAACAGAATGAGATAGATAGATAGATAGATAATGAACAGAATTAGATAGATAGATAGATAGAATTAGATAGATAGATAGATAGATAGATAATGAAAAGAATGAGATAGATTAGATAGATAGATAATGAACAGAATGAGATAGATAGATAGATAGATAGATAATGAACAGAATTAGATAGATAATGAACAGAATTAGATAGATAGATAATGAACAGAATGAGATAGATAGAGATAGATAGAAATAGAACAGAATAGATAGATAAACAGAATTAGATAGATAGATAATGAACAGAATTAGATAGATAGATAGATAGATAGAATTAGATAGATGAATAGAAACAGAATTAGATAGATAGATAGATGAATAGATAGATAGATAGATAGATAGATAGATAATGAACAGAATGAGATAGATAGATAGATAATGAACAGAATTAGATAGATAGATAATGAACAGAATGAGATAGATAGATAGATAGATAGATAGATAATGAACAGAATTAGATAGATAGATAATGAACAGAATTAGATAGATAGATAGATAATGAACAGAATGAGATAGATAGATAGATAGATAGATAGATAATGAACAGAATTAGATAGATAGATAGATAGATAGATAATGAAAAGAATGAGATAGATAGATAATGAACAGAATTAGATAGATAGATAGATAGATAATGAACAGAATGAGATAGATAATAGATAAATAGATAGATAATGAACAGAATTAGATAGATAGATAGATAGATAGATAATGAACAGAATGAGATAGATAGATAGATAATGAACAGAATTAGATAGTTAGATAATGAAAGAATGAGATGAGAGATAGATAGATAGATATAAATATAGAATTAGAATGAAATGAAACAGAATGAGATAGATAGATAGATAGATAGATAGATAATGAACAAGATTAATAGAAAGAACAGAATGATAGATAGATAGATAGATAGATAATGAACAGAATTAGATAGATAGATAGATAGATAGATAATGAACAGAATTAGATAGATAATGAAAAGATAGATAGAACAGAATTAGATAGATAGATAGATAGATAATGAAAAGAATGAGATAGATAGATAATGAAAAGAATGAGATAGATAGATAGATAGATAGATAATGAACAGAATGAGATAGATAGATAGATAGATAATGAACAGAATGAGATAGATAGATAGATAGATAATGAAAAGAATGAGATAGATAGATAGATAGATAATGAACAGAATTAGATAGATAGATAGATAGAACAGAATTAGATAGATAGATAGATAATGAAAATGAATGAGATAGATAGATAGATAGATAGATAGATAGATAATGAACAGAATGTAATAGATAGATAGATAGATAGATAGATAGATAGATAGATAGATAATGAACAGAATGTAATAGATAGATAGATAGATAGATAGATAGATAGATAATGAATGGAATGTAATAGATAGATAGATAGATAGATAGATAGATGATAGATGGAGAAAAGATAGATAGATAGATAATGAACAGAATGAGATAGATAGATAATGAAAAGAATGAGATAGATAGATAATGAACAGAATGAGATAGATAGATAGATAGATAATGAAAAGAATGAGATAGATAGAGAGATAATGAACAGAATGAGATAGATAGAGAGATAATGAAATGAATGAGATAGACAGATAATGAAAAGAATCAGATAGATAGATGTTGTGGCCTTGTTAGGGGCCAAAAATAAAGACACAAAGAGAGGAATTGAGTTAAACAAATATATTAACAGAAACAGTAATAAAAACATATACAAACGAGTGTTACAGTGAGAATGTTTGGTCCGACTGTCAGAGCTGATTGCTAGAAACTTCCCTCTCCAAAAGGTAGTACCTGCTCCTATTTATAGCTGGGAGAGTGAGAGTTCATTTGTGCATGGGTAAATTACTATAACAGTTATGAACCAGACATTTCCAAAAATGTAATGTGATTTTAATGATTTTTGCTGGCTTTGTAGCATAAACTTTATCTTTTAAGTATCTTCACAAAAAAAAAAAAAATTTAAAGATGTAAAGTCCACTGTCTTCCATTCCATCTTTTTTAGCAAGATTTCATTCAGTGAGCTGAATTCAAATTCAATGGATTTGTTAATTTCACTTACAGGTAAATACCCTTCTCTTCTCCTCCCAGCTATGGGTTGAATTGCAGGATAGACATTGTCTTATCGCCTTGGTTGGCAACCAGTCTACAGCACAAAGAAACAGCAACCTACTGCAAGAAAATCTCTGCCTCATGACTTAAGAGACATGATATGGGAGTTAACTGACTTAAGATTGCACATTACATTGGTAGTGACAAGTTCTATGCTAACAGTTTCTTCTCTCACACTTCTTGCTTGTGGAACGCTCTTCCAGTTTATTGCTTCCTAGTCAACTTTGAGCTTTAAAAATTTAAATGCAATGTTAATCATAATCTTCTATCATCTTAATTCTTGTTCATTTATTGACTGCTCTTTTTAATAAGGTATTCTTCTCATATTCTCTAGCACTCAGTATCCCCTTGCATCTTAGTGGCTTTATTACCTTGCTTAGAGTGAAATGATTAAAAAAAAAACTGTGGTAATTGATAAAATATTTATTTTGTTCTTTATCAATCTTTCCTTTTTATTCAAAGTAATTTTCTTCCTTTCATAACTCGTTTTACACTAGATTCATCCTTTCAAATCATCGGTTGCAAACATTTGGACTTTTGATATATTTTTTTTCCGGAAAAGTGACTTCTACTTTTAAATAATTTAAAAGCTCAAAGCATCTACTTCCTCACATTTCAAACCATTTAACTTTAAATCCTGATATTAACACATGGTTTTACTCTTTAAGCTGAACACTTGGCCACAAAATTGGGCTTTAAATTGTTCTCTATCATTTGTTTCATGAAGGTGACCTTTTCGAAAGCATTTGTTTTGTCCTGCTAGAACATATCAGTGCATCTCTTCTGATGCACATAACCCCACATCTTTTACAGTATGCATAAAACCTGCCATTTATTTCTTTTTACTAATGTTCACCCAATATAAGGCTCAAGAGCCACTCAAAGTAGAGGGTTACTGAAAGAGGTTGTTGTATAACAATAAGTGGAAGAGATAAGAAATGAAGTTTATGATGAAGGTTAACTTTAGACTTAAATAGGTTAAGATTTTAGTGATTAGGGAAGCATCCACTCAGGAGTCTGTCCCACAAAGTAGCTGTTTTTGGAAAGAAACTGTTCAAATTTAACTTCCTTCTTACTAAGATTTTCCAGCTGTATAAGGGTTAATTCTTTATACATTATTGAAAAAACAATTTTTTTCAATTAAACTGTGATATCACTGGTAGGATTATTTATATGTCTGTTGTGTAGAAAGACTGACTAACCTTCTCTACACCTATTACTGAAATATAGACTCGTCCATACTCTATGAATAGTATGTCTGCTCAAGGAAGAATGGCAAAAAGTGGGTTGCAAAGGCATAGTGTTTTTGGGTCGTACACTTGTCACCCTGAACTACTGTATTCTCAATCCATGTTCTCATGTGATTAATCTCTTCTTCACTCAACCCTTTGTTCCCAGGATTTTCATTATAGTCTTATTAACCAGCAACTGTGAGCGTTACATGATAACATGTCTATAATAACTTCAAAATAACACATTTAAGAAATGAAAAACTAAAAAACTTTCACCATTTACCAAAGCAAGAGAATCTCAAATTTTAGACTTGAACAGGTTAAGATTGTAGTGATCAAAGAAACATTCTCTTAGAAGTCTGTTTCACAGGGCAGTTGTTTGCAGGAAAAAGCTGTTTGAGTGGAACTTACTTCTCGGTGATAGAATATGGAAGGAATGTCGTTGGTTTGCTACAATGTAAGTAGCATGGTGAGTCCTAGCCTTAAAGGTTAGAACTGGTAGAACCAAAGAATGTAGTTCATCTGAGCACTTTCCATGGAAGTAACGATAGAGCAGTGAGAGACTTGCCACATCCCACTTGTGAGAAAGACATTAAATTCGGAACGTTGTGTCTTGTGTAGAAAGACTGTCTAATCTTCTCTACACTAATATTGAAACATGGACTCATCCGTTTGCTATGAGTAGTATATCTATTCAAGGAAAAAGTGGCAAAAAGTGAGTTGCAAATGCATAGCACTTTCCAGTCGTATACTTGTCACACTGAACTACTGTATTCGCAATCCATGTTCTCATGTGATTAAAGCCTTTTCACTTAACCTTTTGTTTCCAGTGTTTTACTTAGTTTTAATAAGCAGTAACTATGAGTATCTGTCTATTATTCAGACTATTGTCCTCATCTTGATCGCCATATTTATTACGTTTCGGCCGTTGTATGCTCCGGCCTTCTTCAGGTGGTTGGAATGTCGAACTGAACCTTTTATTTTGCTCACTGTGCTATGTGTCCTTATTGAACTGACAACTTAAGGACACATGGCACATTGGATAAAGGTGTTGGTTAGATCCAATGACAGGACTCAAAGAGTTGTGAGTTCAATACCTGGTTTAAGCAGTGGAGAACTTGGAGAGGGGAATTAACAGGAGATAACGGACATCCATTAGACATGGCACATGGAACTAGAACAGTCTACCCCAGCGAGCGAAATAAAAGGTTCAGTTCGACATTCCAACCACCTGAAGAAGGTCGGTTACTGTCACGCTGGCATCAATATTACACTGACATATACAATGGCTGAAACATTGTGATAAATATGACAACAAATTTTAGCACAATAGTCCAAATAATGTAAAAAGTGAAACGTGTCTTAAAGAATGATTTAGGTATTGATATATTTATTTGTTTTTGTTTCTCTTGCATATGTGTGTACATCTGAAGGAGTGAGAATTATGTATCTCTGGAGGTCAAAATGTCAATATCTATATTTAATCCACCTTGATTTTTTGGAAACACTCCAAGACTGATCTATAGTTTGAACTCAGTCAGGTGGTAGCAAAAAGGATTATTTGAATTTAAATCTTGATTTACTGCAGATTTTTTTTTTTTTTTGGCAAGTTCTGGAATGAAAATAATGCCAAGAAAGGTTATTGGATTAAAATTCTGCCAAACATGTAGAAAATGTGAAGCAGTGGGTGGGGCAAAATGTGCAATAGTTGCTGAGCATGTCTGACCCTGTCAAGTGGCTGACTACAAGAATCTTGATTGATCGCTGAGTGGGTGGGGATCTGTATCCATTTCACAGGTGCTTTGCAAAATCAATATGATAATGTGATCCATAAATCCTGGAACAAAAATAAGGAAAGTTTTAGTCATGTGTTGTTAACTGATTCCTCTTGATATGAACCAGGAGAAAAAAATCACTCACAGACTTTTAACGTATTTATATTCAACCCAATTATGGCTTGTTAATTTTAATATCTCCAAAACAAAATTGCTTTCTTTTAGTAGTCTGAGATAACTTCTTTTTTTGCCTTCAATCAACATGACTGATGCTAGTTTCCAGAAAGAGTGACATTGCACCTTCTCTGGATAACGTGTTCCACTGACAGGAAATGGTAAGATTATATTGAATTAGCTGAACAGTCTGCTGCTAGGAAAGTTGATTCACTGTGTCTTGGTAGACATTTTTTCTTACACTTTTATAAGACTACCAATTGTCCATGCATTGAATATTGTTGGCACATATGGTCTGGTGCTTCGGTTATGCATTTAGAAATTCTTGATAAAATACAAAGAGGAATCTGAAAGATTATCAGTCCTGACCTGACATCTCAGCTACAGTCACTTTCCCACTGCTATAAGCTAGCTTTCCTGAGCCGTTTCTATAAATATTTTCATGGTAATTGTTTTGATGAGATTACATCTATGGTACCTAGACTTTACAAATTTCAGTGCAGTACTAGACTGGAAGATAGGTCTCATTATTTTATAGTTTAAATTGCAAGATATAACTGTAAGTTCTATGTTAACAGCTTCTTCTCTCACACTTCTCACTTGTGGGATTCTCTTAAGGGCTCTTGTTTTCAAATCAACTTTGAACTTCAAAAATTTAAATGTAATGCCAATCATCATTTTTTATATTCTTGAATTCTGTTCTTTTATTGTCCTCTCTCCTTAATAATGTCTTCTTTCTGCACAAATTTTCTTACTGAGGCTGCAAGAGATATCAGACTGGATGTCATATTGGTAAATGGTAGTGTTCCTTTGACGTGTGTGGCTAATAAGGTCTGCTTGTGAAAAGCAAACCAGGTAGTGCATACTTAGGCTCAGTGGAAATAAGGTGAGCAATAACTGAGTAGTACTAAATAGGGATGAGTTCAATATTTGGACCGGGTAGTGCATACTTAGGCTCAGTGGAAACAAGGCAAGTAATAACTGAGTAGTACTAAATAGGGATGGGTTCAATCTCTGGACCGTGAAGTTCAGACTTAGTCTCAGTGAGAATAGGGTGAGCAATAACTGAGTAGTACTAAATAGGGATGTGTTCAATCTCTGGACCGGGGAGTGCAGACTTAGGCTCACTGGAAACAAGGTGAGCAATAACTGAGTAGTACTAAATAGGGATGAGTTCAATATTTGGACCGGGTAGTGTATACTTAGGCTCAGTGGAAACAAGGCAAGTAATAACTAAGTAGTACTAAATAGGGATGAGTTCAATATTTGGACCGGGTAGTGCAGACTTAGGCTCAGTGGAAACAAGGCAAGTAATAACTGAGTAGTACTAAATAGGGATGGGTTCAATCTCTGGACCGTGAAGTTCAGACTTAGTCTCAGTGAGAATAGGGTGAGGAATAACTGAGTAGTACTAAATAGGGATGTGTTCAATATTTGGACCGGGTAGTGCAGACTTAGGCTCAGTGGAAACAAGGCAAGTAATAACTGAGTAGTACTAAATAGGGATGAGTTCAATCCTTGGACTGGGTAGTGCAGACTTACTGGGAACAAGGCAGCCATTAACTGAGCTGTACTAAATACACATGAGCTATATTAAGAATAAGATGTGACATCCTTAGACAAGGACAGTAGAATGAAAACAATCTCCCCCTGCTTATAAATTAAATAAAGTATTTAGGCCAAAATTCCCTGGAGGTTACCCAGGTATATCATGAAGACTGGATCTTACAACAGTTGAAATGTTATGATAATAACATCAAAGATAAGGATAATAGTCTGAATGTAAATAATGATAATTCCTCATCTCAAAAATGAAATCCAGAATTATCAGTGAATATGTTCACCTCAATTTACATTATTCGGACTATTGTCCTCATCTTTGTCGCCATATTTATCACAACATTTCAGCCATTGTATGCTCCAGCCTTCTTCAGGTGTTTGGAATGTCAAACTGAACCATTATTTCACTCGCTTGGGTAGACTGTTCTAGTTTGATGCGCCATGTCTAATGGATGTCACTTATCAGTTATCTCCTGTTAATTCCCCTCTCAAAGTTCTCCACTGCCTTAACCAAGTATTGAACTTACAACTCCACTGTGCCATGTGTCCTTAAGAGTTGTGAGTTCAATACCTGTTTAAGAACTTGGAGAGGGGAATTAACAGGAGATAACTGATAACTGACATCCATTAGACATGGCATGTGGAACTAGAACAGTCTACCCAGCAAGTGAAATAAAAGGTTCTGTTTGACATTCCAACCACTTGAGGAAGGCCGGAGCATACAACGGCTGAAACGTTGTGATAAATATGGCAACAAAGATGAGGAGAATAGTCTGAATAATGTAAATAGTGTAATAATACCTCATCTCAAAATGAGACAGATACTGAAAGGTCAAACGTTGTAATAAATATGAAAGATGAGGACAATAGTCTGAATAATGTAAATAGTGTACATAATACCTCATCTCAGAAATATAGACAGATACTGAAAAGGTCGAAACGTTGTGATAAATATGGCAACAAAGATGAGGACAATAGTCTGAATAATGTAAATAGTGTACATAATACCTCATCTCAGAAATATAGACAGATGCTGAAAGGCGAAACATTGTAATAAATATGGCGATAAAGATAAAATAAATAGGTAATAATACCTCATCTCAGAAATATAGACAATACTGAAAGGCCAGTCGAAACGTTGTGATAAATATGACAACAAAGATGAGGGACAATAGTCTGAATAACGTAAATAGTGTACATAATACCTCATCTCAGAAATATAGACAGATACTGAAAGGCCGAAACGTTGTGATAAATATGGCGACAAAGATGAGGACAATAGTCTGAATAATGTAAATAGTGTACATAATACCTCATCTCAGAAATATAGACAGATGCTGAAAGGCCGAAACATTGTAATAAATATGGCGATAAA